ATAAGGGCTTGTCTATCTTGTTGATTTTCTCAAAGAACCAACTTTTTGTTTCATTGATTTTTTGTATTGTTCTCTTTGTTTCTATTTTATTGATTTCAGCTCTCAATTTGATAATTTCCTGGTGTCTATTCTTCCTGGGAGACTTTGCTTCTTCTTGTTCTAGATCTTTCAGGTGTGCTGTTACATCACTAGTGTGAGATTTCTCCAACTTCTTTATGTGGGCATTTAGTGCTATGAATTTCCCTCTTAGCACTGCTTTCATAGTGTCCCATAAGTTTGGGTATGTGGTGGAGTCATTTTCATTGATCTCTACGAAGTCTTTAATTTCTTTCTTTATTTCTTCCTTGACCAATTGGTGATTCAGTTGAGCATTTTTCAGTTTCCATGAGATTGCAGGTTTTCTGTAGATTTTTTTGTTGTTGTTGAAATCTAACTTTAAACTTTGGTGGTCTAATAGAATGCAGGAGGTTATTCCAATTCTTTTGTATCTGTTAAGATTTGCTTTGCGACCAAGTATTTGGTCGAGTTTAGAGAAGGTTCCATGGGGTGCTGAGAAGAAGGTATATTCTTTTTTGTTAGGATGGAATGTTATGTAGATATCGGTTAAGTTCATTTGAGTCATAACATCAGTTAAGTCCTTTATTTCTCTGTTAAGTTTTGATTTGGGAGATCTGTCCAGTGGTAAAAGTGGGGTGTTGAAGTCTCCCACTATTAATGTGTGGGGTTTTATATGTGATTTAAGCTTTAGTAATGTTTCTTTTACAAATTTGGGTGCCCTTGTGTTTGGGGCATAAATGTTGAGAATTGAAACTTCATCTTGGTGGATCTTTCCTGTGATGAGCATGTAATGCCCTTCTTGATCTCTTTTGATTGATTTTAGTTTGAATTCTATTTTGCTGGATATTAGGATGGCTACACCTGCTTGCTTCTTAAGACTATTTGATTAGAAAGTCTCTTCACAGCCTTTTATTCTTAGGAAGTGTCTATCTTTGAATTTGAGGTGTGTTTCTTGTATGCAGCAGACAGATGGGTCCTGCTTTCGTATCCATTCTGTTAGCCTGTGTTTTTTTATAGGTGAATTAAGTCCATTGATATTAAGGGATATTAATGACCAGTGATTGTTCATTCCTGTTATTTTTTTGGTGGTAGTGTGTGTGTACTGCTCTTCTTTGGGGTTTACTGCTCTGGTGTTATCTATTGCCTGTGTTTTCAAGGGTGTATCTGATTTCCTTAGGTTGCAATTTTCCTTCTAGTACCTTCTATAGGGTTAGGTTTGTAGATATGTATTGTTTAAATCTGCCTTTGTCTTGGAATGTCTTGTTCACTCTGTCTATGATGATTGAAAGTTTTGCTGGGTATATTAGTCTAGGCTGGAATCCATGGTCTCTTAGTGTCTGCATTACATCTGTCCAAGTCCTCTGGCTTTCAAAGTTTCCATTGAGAAATCGGGTGTTATTCTGATGGGTTTGCCTTTATAAGTCACTTGGCCTTTTTCCTTTGCTTCTCTTAATATTCTTTCTTTATTCTGTACATTTAGTTGTTTAATTATTATTTGGTGAGGGGACTTTTTAGGGGGTCTACTTTGTTTGGTATTCTATAAGCTTCTTGTATCTTCATAGGCATTTCCTTCTTTAAGTTAGGAAAGTTTTCTTCTATGATCTTGTTGAATATATTTTCTGTGCCTTTGAGTTGGTATTCTTCTCCTTCCTCTATCCCTATTATTCGTAGGTTTGGTCTTTTCATGGTGTCCCAAATTTCTTGGACATTTTGGGTCATGACTTTGTTGGCTTTAGTGTTTTCTTTGACTGATGAATGAAGAGATCCTCTCTTCCATCTCTTGCATCCTGTTGGTTATAATTACATCTGAAGTTCCTGTTCATTTACTCAGGTTTTCTATTTCCAGCATTCCTCTGTTTGTGTCTTCTTCATTTTTTCTATTTCCCTTTTCAGGTCTTGGACTGTTTCCTTCATCTGTTTCATTGCTTTTTCATGATTTTCTTTCAGGGATTTATTGTTTTCTTCTGCTGTATTTGTCTTTTCCTCTAGTTTTTTATAGCATTCTTCCCTTTTTTGTTTGTTCCTCAATTTCATTTTAGATTTCTTCTTTATAAGCCTCTAGCCACTTCATGATGTTATTCATAAGGTTGCTTTCTTCTGCTTCTTCCATTTTGTGATGTTCAGGTCTAGCTGTTGGAGAAAGGCTAGGTTCTGGTGATGCTGTATTGCTCTTCATTTTGTTGTATGTACTTCTGCCTTGATGTCTGCCCATCTCCTTGTGGATTCGTTCTTGATCTTATCAATGCTCTTGGTCCAGACAGAGCTGACAGATTCAGGAAGCCTCTCTCTGGTCCAGATGGAAGCTCTTGGCCAGATGGTAGCTAGGGGCTGGTCTCTGAGTCTTAGGCAGTGGCTGGGGTCTCCGGCAGATGGGTGAGGGGGCAGGGTGTGTAGATTGCAGAATCTGCCAGGGGGCGGGGGTCTTGGAGAAGGGGAACCTTGGGGGGGTCACTTCCCAATGGCCAGAACCTGGGGCAAGTTGGGCAGGTCTTCCCCAGAATGGCTGGTGCCCAGGGATAGGACCTAGGGGCAGGCCTTTCTGGGTATGACGCCAGGCACTCACCTCTGGTCCAGATGGGAACTCTGGGCAGGATGGGAGCTGGGGGCTGGTCTCTAAGTCTCAGGAAGTGGCTGTAGTCTTGGGCGGATGGGTTTGGGGGCAGCGTGTGGAGATTGCAGGGTCTGCCTGGGGTCTTGGAAAAGGGGAACCTTCCCAGTGGGGGTGGTCCTGCCCTATGGCCAGAACCTGGGGCCAAGTTGGGTAGGGCTTCCTGGAATGGCTGGTGTCTAGGGATGGGACCTAGGGGCAGGCCTCTCTGAGTATTACCCCAGGCACTCACCTCTTGTCCAGATGGGAGCTGGGGGGGCGCAAGCTGGGCAATTAGCACATATTTCTTATCTATGCTTTGCCATGTGGTTTGTGGCTTGTTACCTCATTTTTCACACATCTTTATTTCTCAGTGGTTGGCTGGCATCTCCCTTACTCCACCTTTCTCTTCCCTTCCTTAGTTTGTTTATCACACCCATACTTCCTACCTGGCTATCAATCAATTGACTTTATTATTAACACTGAGCATAATCCACAGCACAGAAATCTGGCCAGTTATAAAAATAGTATTCACCATTTAAATGGCTCAACATACTAAGAAGTAAAATTGTCAGTTATTTACAAGTTAATTCATTGGACTGATGAATTTCTAGGAGTCATGCTTCATATAGATTTAATTTATATAATATAAAATTTGTATAAAATATAGAGGACTTCAAATGTCTAAATAATTCTGAAAAGTATGATTAAAGATTTGGAAATCTTTATCAAATTTCAGGACCTACAGGTGCAATAATTAAAATGCTGTACTGTGAGCAAAGTTAGGTGAGACACAAATAAAGATATTCTGAGTTTGGAATTTTTTTTTTAATTTATTTTGCAATACAATTCAGTTCTACATATCAGCCACGGATTCCCTTGTTCTCCCCCCTCCCGTCCCCCTCACCTTCCCCCCAACCCCCCCCCCATTCCCATCTCCTCCAGGGCAAAGCCTTCCCCACAGACTGAGGTCAACCTGGTAGACTCAGTCCAGGTAGGTCTAGTCCCCTCCTCCCAGGCCGAGCCAAACAATCCTGCATAGGCCCCAGGTTTCAAACAGCCAACTCATGCAATGAGCACAAGATCTGGTCCCACTGCCTGGATGCCTCCCAAACAGATCAAGCCAATCAACTGTCTCACCCATTCAGAGGGCCTGATCCAGTGGGGACCCCTCAGCCATTGGTTCATAGTTCATGTGTTTCCATTCATTTGGCTATTTGTCCCTGTGCTTTATCCAACCTTGGTCTCAACAATTCTCGCTCATATAAACCCTCCTCATTCTCGCTAATTGGACTCCCAGAGATCCACCCAGGGCCTAGTCATGGATCTCTGCATCCAGATCCCTCAGTAGTTGGATGAGGTTTCTAGCACAACAATTAGGGTGTTTGGCCATCCCATCACCAGAGTAGGTCAGTTCGGGCTGTCTCTCGACCATTGCCAGCAGTCTGTTGTGTGGGTATCTTTGTGGATTTCTGTGGGCCTCTCTAGCACTTTGCTTCTTCCTATTCTCATGTGGTCTTCATTTACCATGGTCTCCTATTCCTTGTTCTCCCTCTCTGTTGTTGATCCAGCTGGGATCTCCTGCTCCCCCAAGCTCTCTTTCCCTCAACCCTCGCCTTTCACTACCCCCACTCATGTCCAGGCTGTTCATGTAGATCTCATTCCATTTCTCTGTCATTGGGCGATCCCTGTGTCTTTCTTGGGGTCCTGTTTTCCAGGTAGCCTCCCTGGTGATGTGAGTAGCAGACAAGTCATCCTTGTTTCATGTCTAGTATCCTGCTATGAGTGAGTACATACCATGTTTGTCTTTCTGAGTCTGGGTTACCTCACTCAGGATGATTAGTTTGGAATTTTACAACCTAAAATAACATTTGATTTTAGGTGTTCAACTTTCTTTCATGTCTTTGGAAAACCAGTTAAGACTTTTGCGTAATGATTCCAGTAAAAAAACCAAAACAACAACAACAAAAAAAAAAGTTATTAAGATTGATACTATCAAAACAAAAGGTTATAGGCCCATAAAACTAAAAGATTTTTACAGGGACCTATGTATAGGATTGGTGCTAGGACCAATTGTAAATAGTAATAGCGATACATGTAGAGATGCAATGGAATGTTTAAAGCCATGCTGAAGTAATGTGTTCTATGATGATCATTTCAAAACCTTGACACATAAGGAAAGAGATTACTAACACACAACCTATGGGCATATAGCTAAACAGAAGGAGTTTTAAACATGACATATATTAGTGGTATTAGTATGCAGGATTTAGTGGTCATCTAAGAAATCAATGAAAAAATAAGAATATTCTAACCAAACACGAATGTGAAATATTTTTTTTTAATTTTCAACTAGATATTCAATTGACAGAAACACAGATTTGGAGAGATATTTCAATATCGATGCCAACAGTGGAGTTATCACTACTGCTAAATCATTGGATCGAGAGACAAATGCTGTTCATAACATTACAGTCCTCGCAATGGAAAGTCGTAAGTCGAAAGGTTTAAAATGGATTAAGCAAGGTGAAAATAGAGAATGGGTTCTTATGAGATGAGGTCAGTTTAAGCTGTAATAGTTGCTTGATTAAGTTGGACAAACCCCAGAAAGTCCCAAATCACTAAACTGTAAAATATTTATAGATTTACTGGCTCCCTGTGCTGATATTTACATAGTTAATTCAAAATATAGAACTGCAAAACCTGATAGTTGTGAATTACCTTCTGAAGCTTGCTTTCTTTTACATCCTAGATATTGCCTTTATCTTGCTAGGAATTTATTTGATCTCTACCAATAAACATAGAAATAAAACATATGAATATTCTAATATTGAACTAATAGAAATAATTTAAGAGAAAATATAATTATATCTATATTACTAAAATATATAGCATTTTATAAAAATATATAGAAAATTCATGTATATATAATATGCTAATACTGATATAAATAGAGTTGAATTTCATGGTTCACTCATTCAGCACTTTTCTTATCAGGGACAAGAAACACATGCATATATATATACATGTATATATATATATTTATATGGAATGAATAAATACAGATACAATCATGCATTATATACAAACATAAAATATATGTTTGAATATATACATGTTTAAATTAATAAGTTCATATAGGTAAGATTATCTGTGGTTCTGTTTAGATAGTATAGTATTATAAGTATATTTTTCATTTGAGATTATACTTTAGAAAAGGAATTTTCAATTTTTTCATTGATTTTCATGTTTATTGAATAAAATAGCAAAAGTGTTGTGAGTATTCTAAGTTAATTAGAAAATATTTTCTTATCTACCAGAGAATCCATCTCAGGTTGGGAGAGGCTATGTGGCCATCACTATACTGGACATTAATGACAATGCACCCGAGTTTGCCATGGACTATGAAACCACTGTCTGTGAAAACGCTCAGCCTGGACAGGTGAGAAGCTTGAATCAACTTCTTTGGAATTTCTTTAGAAGCATCCAGCAGTGGTGTCCCTGAAACCTCCCAATTTTAAGATAACTCACAATCTGCATGTTTCAGCAAAGCTAGCACATTGATGTGTAGCTAGCACAAACTAATATTAAAAGAACTTTCAAATTCTAGTTTAATTGGGTGATGAAAATTCCTCAGGAAGAGAATATAAACATTGTAAAAATCCCTGTTATATGTTTAAAGGCTTGGATTCCTTAAAGAAGAAATAAAACATATCAAGCTTGTTTGGGCTGTTTTCCCACATTATATTACATAGCAGGATTTAAATACCTCGACTTCTAAGAATTAAGTGCTGTTCAAAGTGGCTTTGGCTTGTCTATCTATATTGCTCAGAGTTGTGTGATGATTGGGATGTCTAATCAATTGTTGCAACTTGTTTCGGAGGTTCACAAAAGAAAGTTTAAACATGCACTTTGAAAAGAACATGATTTACTCCGGGCGCTCGTGGCTCACGCCTTTAATCCTAGCACTTGGAGGCAGAGACAGGTGGATCTCTGTGAGTTCAAGGCCAGCCTGGTCTACAGAGCGAGCTCCAGGACAGGCAGCAAAACTACACAGAGAAACCCTGTCTCAGAAAACAAAACAAGAAAAGGACCTGATTTGTTTTCCAAAGCCTATTTTAGATTGAGTTCAAGTTTGTACACCTGATACATTCTCTGAACTCATTCTCAGGAATGACATTTATGATGAGGTATAAAATCACTGTGTCCTGCTGTAGGTAGGAATCTCAGCAGACTGCACCAGTAGGCTTTCTCTTTTACATTCTCTCTAGGTTATCCAGAAAATCAGTGCTGTAGATAAAGATGAGCCATCTAATGGACACCAGTTTTACTTCAGCTTAACAACAGATGCAACAAATAACCACAACTTTTCATTGAAAGATAACAAAGGTAAGGAAGCTATGCCTTTGGAAGCACTGACTCCTAAATAAGCCCATTTCTCCCTTAGGGATGCTTATTATGGGGAAAAAACAGCAAGGACAGTAATTAAAAGGCATTTGCTTTCTGAGCAATTTTATCCATGAATTTGCTGTCATAGAGGAGAAGCCACTGTTTAAATCATTTTAGGCATAAAGCGAAATGCAAAAAGTTACCTGTATTTCTCTTGTCTGTCTCCTGAATGTTTGCCTCCCATTAATATACCATGCTCTTTATCTAAGTGATCTCAAAAATCAAATGCCTGTTAAGGACCTTAGTAACTGTGCTATTTTAACACTACTTGAGACCTTAGAAAATGATTGTATCATTATATTCGTTTCAACTTAAATCAACATTCACATAATATTATCAATAACACCATTTTATTTTTATATGAAAATAAATGTTATGTGAAAACTCTAATAATAAAAATCATTATAAACTAAAGTAAAATAGTAAATAATAAGAAAAAATACTCCTTCTCATGTCAAATTTCATTTCCTTGCTTTTTAGTTAGCTGCTCCTACCAAGTCATAAGTTTAATTGTAGGGGCACTTTACAAGTACCTGTAAGCAGATTCCTGTTTTTCTTAATACTTATTAATAATCATAAGACCTTCTAAAGAAAGCATTAAAATTTACTTACATATTATACAGGTTTTTATGTGATTCAAGTTTTAGTTTTAAAATAAAGAATTGAAATGGCTTACCAGAACAGACTTGCTTTCAGATGAAATTTACAAAGTCTTTTGCCTAAGGCCATAGCTTTAGTGCAAAAACTATGATCTCGGCCAGGAAAATTCAATCTGAAAGTAATAATTTTTTTCCTGATCCCATTGGTGACCTAATGAGAACACTCTATTGTCCCATTAGTAATATAAAAGAAGAGCATTCTCTGGGTGTGTAATCCCAAACTCTCTGACTTAATCATTGTTGGAAAGGTTTATTCTCAATTCTTGGAGTCATTGAGCAAGATTAGGCCAGGGAATATGTGACCTTCACAAGAAGACGGTGAATATATCCCTCATGTGCCACAGTCCAATAGCATCAAGATTTCTGTACTGAATGCACAAGAAAATATCTGGTTTTATGAAGCATCCATACTGCCACATAGCTGGAAATGTCCCTATGTCACATACAACAAGCCCAAAGTTCCCCAGGCTATACCTAGAAGGGCATCAAAAGAATAGGGAAAAATCATTCATGTTGTCTTCCACATTCGGGGAGCAATACAACTCTTTCTTGATCATAGCATTCATTTTTATATGCTGAGCATTTGGCCTGTGCTTCTCAATTTAATATGTGTGTGTGTGTGTGTGTGTGTGTGTGTGTGTGTTTATTGTGTCTGTGTACATGATTCTGTGTCTATGTGTGAAAGATTTTTATATCAGTCATGTTAGACTACCAATAAACAACTGTATGAATATATTCTCTAAATTCACAATGATGGTTAATATCAACATTGGTGTGAATCAAACATCAGCCTGCATATTATTAAGTGTACAGAAACATAAGGAATATTCCTAGACAATTCCATGATTAATTAATTAATCACCTAATGAATTTTGCAAATCCATATTTTACAATTAAATATTTTCAAACAGTAAGATTTTAGTAACATTTCAAAATCTGCATATATGAAAACAGACAAAATACAAAATGATACTAATTTTTTATTTTATGTAATCTAAAATCATGGTAAATTCTTTGCTTAATGTTGGTTATAAACTTTTTGCTTTGTGCTGCTTAAGACAGAAATGATGTCAGCTTGATTTCTTTAAAGTTTTATTAAATTTTTCATGTCAATATTAGATAAGCAAGTTTTAAACTATTAGGGAATTACGTACTGGATGACAGTATGACCCTGACTTCTTTTCTTTTCTTTTCTCCTACTAGTTAGTTTCAGTTTGTAGAATCCTATAAATTATAATTAGCTTATTAAGAGAAAATACACAGAGAAATACCCTCAAATTAAATTTATTTTGGTAATATAAGTTGTAGTTATATAAACATATTAATCACCTTTCAAATCATAGTTACTGTAACTTTCTTAGGTCAGATAGAATATAAAATATAAATTAAATTCTGTGATATTAATAAAATATTTTAAATCATGTTGCTTTAGAAGGTGTGAATAATAATACGATTTATAAAACTTATTCAATAATTCCCTTTGTGAATATCTATGTTTGACAATGTGCTGCTTTTGATTTTTTTTTCAGTTATTGATGAACCATGTCTGTGATGATAGTCCCATAAGATTACATCAACTAATGAAATCAAAACATCTTAGTTAGTTTGTGCCAGTAAACTATGATGTGAACATAGGAAGTGTCCTGGCTTGTTTCACAGAGCATATGCCCTAGTTCAAAGATACTTGACTACATAATCAATTAAATAAAACTTTGGTATCCTACTTTACTTTTTCTTTATTGATCTAGAAACCTGCCAAACAAGGGATGGATTTGAAATGATGCTTAAAAGAGCATCTACTAACTGGTGACTTTTACCAATCTCTCCAAGTATATGGTTTGAAATTTTAGGTATGCATAAATATAAAAACTCTGTTTAATAAAACATTTAATTTTACATTATGACTGTTTCTTTGCTATCTTTAGAGGACAGAAACACTTTAAGATGAATTCCATAGAAGATATGCCTCTCTGTCTAAAAAGATTTCTTGTGGGATGTTGAAAAAAATATGCCACATCTGTTTCACAATTAAGGAGCAAAAGGAAAAGAATGACTTTAAGTTTGGTAAGACAAAGTTTGTTAGAAGGCTTATTATATGTTTTTGTTCTTCATCCTAGACAACACAGCTTCAATACTCACCAGGAGAAATGGCTTCCGCAGACAGGAACAGTCAGTTTACTATCTGCCAATTTTCATTGTGGACAGTGGATCTCCTTCACTGAGTAGTACCAACACACTTACCATCCGTGTCTGTGACTGCGATGCTGACGGCATCGCGCAGACCTGCAACGCTGAGGCCTATGTTCTGCCTGCCGGCCTTAGCACCGGGGCCCTGATAGCAATCCTGGCCTGCGTCTTGACGCTATTGGGTAGGTGCTGTTTTTCTGTTCTTGCTTTGTAGGAGCAGTTACCAAAACAACCTAACACCACAAATTTTCTTACTTCATTTTTGTTTCTTTGAGTATCTTTTCAAGGACATGTAAATAATTTACCAGTTATGGTAACACTTGCTACTTATCTTTTCTATCTAGCAGTATGCTTTAAAGGACAACACATAATAAAAGAACATGAACTTCATTTTCAACAAAAAAAAAAAAAAACACAGGATAAATTATCTGAACTTATTATGAGTGCTTTTCGAACATTTAGTTTTAAATATATTTCATCCTGTTTCTTTGTGTGAGAATTATCAACCTGAGCACTATATTAGATTAGAAGGAGGATTTTTCATATTGCTTTAATAGTATGCTTATTTGAGAAATTATGGCATAAAGTATTTTGACTTTTAAGGGAATGAAGTTGTGGCTACACAAACATTATAATTTCTTGAGAATCATTGCCTAATTTAATTCTACTTTTCAAAGACTAACTTATTATTTGGCTGAACTACATTTACTTAAATTTGCATAGAAGATTATACAACATCCTTTTTTTTAATTTCTTTTTTTTTATTTTTATTTTGCAATACAATTCAGTTCTACATATCAGCCACGGATTCCCTTGTTCTCTCCCCTCCCGCCCCCCTCACCTTCCCCCCAACCCTCCCCCATTCCCATCTCCTCCAGGGCAAAGCCTTCCCCACAGACTGAGATCAACCTGGTAGATTCAGTCCAGGTAGGTCCAGTCCCCTCCTCCCAGGCCGAGCCAAGCGACCCTGCATAGGCCCCAGGTTTCAAACAACGAACTCATGCAATGAGCACAGGACCCGGTCCCACTGCCTGGATGCCTCCCAAACAGATCAAGCCAATCAACTGTCTCACCCACTCAGAGGGCCTGATCCAGTTGGTGACCCCTCAGCCATTGGTTCATAGTTCATGTGTTTCCATTCGTTTGGCTATTTGTCCCTGTGCTTTATCCAACCTTGGTCTCAACAATTCTTGCTCATATAAACCCTCCTCATTCTCGCTAATTGGACTCCCAGAGATCCACCCAGGGCCTAGTCATGGATCTCTGCATCCAGATCCCTCAGTAGTTGGATGAGGTTTCTAGCACAACAATTAGGGTGTTTGGCCATCCCATCATCAGAGTAGGTCAGTTCGGGCTGTCTCTCGACCATTGCCAGCAGTCTGTTGTGTGGGTATCTTTGTGGATTTCTGTGGGCCTCTCTAGCACTTTGCTTCTTCCTATTCTCATGTGGTCTTCATTTACCATGGTCTCTTATTCCTTGTTCTCCATCTCTGTTCTTCATCCAGCTGGGATCTCCTGCTCCCCCAAGCTCTCTTTCCCTCGACCCTCGCCTTTCACTACCCCCACTCATGTCCAGGCTGTTCATGTAGATCTCATTCCATTTCTCTGTCATTGGGCGATCCCCGTGTCTTTCTTGGGGTCCTGTTTTCCAGGTAGCCTCCCTGATGATGTGAGTAGCAGTCCAGTCATCCTTGTTCCACATCTAGTATCCTGCTATGAGTGAGTACATACCATGTTTGTCTTTCTGAGTCTGGGTTACCTCACTCAAGATGATTTTTTCTAGATCCATCCATTTGTCTGCAAACCTCATGATGTCCTTGTTTTTCTCTGCTGAGTAGTATTCCATTGTGTATATGTATCACATTTTGTTTATCCATTCTTCAGTGAAGGGCATCTAGGTTGTTTCCATGTTCTGGCTATTACAAACAATGCTGATATGAACATAGCTGAACAAGTGCTCTTATGGTGTGGTTGAGCATTCCTTGGGTATATGCCCAAGAGTGGTATAGCTGGATCTTGGGGGAGATGGATTCCCAATTTTCTAAGAAAGTGCCATATTGATTTCCAAAGTGGTTGTACAAGCTTGCATTCCCACCAGCAGTGGAGGAGAGTTCCCCTTGCTCCACATCCTCTCCAGCATAAGATGTCTTCAGTGTTTTTGATCTTAGCCATTCTGACAGGCGTAAGGTGGTATCTCAGAGTTACAACATCCTTTTTAATATTAGAATTTATCCAACATGGCCACAAGGATAATGAGTGGGTTTATTCAAAAGCAGTGTTCTCATTTACAGTGTAAGTTCTACAGAGAGGGTAAGCACTTAATTTTGCACTTTTGGCTGCACCATGTACCGTGGGTTATTTATTTATTTTTTTTTTGTGGGGGAAGCAGTTATAGAATTAGTAAATGCATTTACAGTATAGGTTTATAAAGGCAGCATCAGGCATGGAGGTCAGCATGGCCTGCTGTTTGAGATAGGTTTGGGGAAGTGTGTACCTGTGTCTTACTCTTTGCCTGGGTTGTTCATTAGTTCTTCATGAGGGGAGTGCTGGCTTCTCTATGGAATAGCTTCATAATCTCATTGGTGAATTCATGTAACTAGTCTCATAATGATATGAGAATTAAATGAGATGATTCATGCACAAAACTGCATACCTACTACATAGTGAACATTCAGTGTAATTGGTGGAACGACAGTCCTCACTCTATTAACCAAGCTAAGATTTAGCTGCTAATACAATGTAAAGAGTCTCATAAAATAGAAGTTATTTTCTTCAATAACTTTAGCTATTCAAATAAATCTAGAAGAAAATAATTATACTATTCTTTCTAAAAAAAAACAAACAAACAAACAAAACTGTAAACAGGAGTCAGGAACTTCCTGAAATTCATTAGAAATGACCAGTAATTCACAATTAAAACATGATTATAATATAAGGACTAAGAGTAAATATGAAAGAAATTTGGAGGCATTGTGAATAAATGTTTATTTACCTACTTGGTTTCCAATGCATAATAATAAACACAAAAATCTAATATTTACTTTTACTTTATAAAAGAATAATTACAGACATAAGATATAAAACCTCCGTTCCATTTAAAAATATAATGCCTTCACTTTGAAACAACCAAATCATGGGAATCGAAAAAGAGAGGTAGACAATGTGTGGGACACTTTAAACTTTGAATATTTATCTCTCTCTCTCTCACACACACACACACACATACACACACACACACACACACACACACACACACACACACACACACACTCCATTATACTGTGCTTCCAGGAACAAGTTACAGATAACTGTACTCTCTCAAATTTGATTATCTCTGATAGTGATTTAACTTCTGGATTTTAAAAGACTGTCTTACGAAGATTGTTTCACTTCCAATATATAATGTCTTATGTGACATTTAGCTTCTTTCCAATCAAGGTTGCTTGATTCTTCTACAGTATATAATCACTAAACTATTATTGAAAGTAAAACAGGTGTCCCACTCCTTTAATCTCTATAGCTGGAGAGTTTCTCTTCAGCTCCCACCAAGCCCCAGCAGTCCTGCAGCCCACTTATAAAATAAACACACAGACTCTTACATTATTTAAATTGTTTGGCCTAATGGCTCAGGCTTCTAGCTATCTAGTTCTTACATCTTAAATTAACCCATTTCTATAAATCTATACCTTGCCACATGGCTTACCAGTATCTTACATATTGGTACTCATGGCAGTAGCCGGTAGTGTCTCCTGACTCAGCCTTCCTGTTCCCAGAATTCACTTCTCTGCTTGTCCCACCTCTACTTCCTGCCTTGCTACTGGCCAATCAGCATTTTATTTATACAGAGCATATCCACAGCAAATCTCAGCACTAGGGAGGCAGAGGCAGGTAAATCTCTGAGTTCAAGACCAGCCTCATCTACAGAGTGAGTTCCAGGTCACCCTGGGCTGCACAGAGAAAGCCTTTCTCCTTTCTCGAAAAACCAGAGAGAGAGGAAACAGTTTTATTAGTATCTATTCTTTAGTTCTTTCTCTCTCTCTCTCTCTCTCTCTCTCTCTCTCTCTCTCTCTCTCTCTCTGTATGTGTGTGTATGTGAGTGTGTGTGTATTAGTATGTGGTGTGAGGGATTTGCTATATGTGTGTGTGTATGTGTGTGTATGTGTGTGTGTGTGTGTGTGTGTGTGTGTGTGTGTGAAGTGACTATGTGTGTGGTATATGTGTGTGTGTGAGTATGTGTGTGTGGTGGGGGGTGTGGTGTATGTTTATGTGTGTGTGTGCATGTGTGGGAAGTGTGGGGGTGCCTGTAGTGTTTTGTATATGTGTTGTCTCTGTGGTGTTGTCTTCATGTATATGTATTTGTGTGTGCTGTATGTCTGTGTGTATGAGTGTGTATGTGTGTTTATGGTATGTGTATAGTGTATCTGTGTATGTGCATGTATTGTGGCTGTGTGTGTGGTATATGTCTGTCTGTGTATGTGTGGTTTGAGATGTGTGTGATGTGTTTGTATGCATGTGTGGAGTGTTTTTTGTTTGTTTGTTTGCATGTACATATATGTGTGTGCCATGTATGTGTGTGTGTGAGTGTGAGTGTGTGTGTGTGTGTGTGTGGTTTGTGTGTGTGTATATATATATGTGTGTGTGTGTGTGTGTGTGTGTGTGTGTGTGTGTGTTCTGATTTTGGAGACTGTAAGTGTAAGCATCTTTCTACTAATTTCAAATTTGTCACCTGAGAATTAGAAAAGCTACTTCTATTTCTAAGTATCAAATTTCTGTGCATGCATTTTATTTATTTTTTGAAGTTTCTATGGCTTTACCCAAGTCTCAGTGAAAGTAGGATGTTTTCACAATGACTTGAAGTTTTGAAACAGGGGCTTCTGCCTACAAAAATTCATATCTACAGTGAAACTATACAATAGCAGAATCTTCCAAAATCAGCCATTCAGATTATTACTATAATCTTCAAATTTTATTTCCTGAGTTGATGGCAACAGTTTAGTAGAAATTTTGTAGTCTTTCCTTCTGCCTTCACTATTATTAACTGGTATTTGACATGGTCAGTTTTGAAGCCAATGAAATTCAGATTTCACGGGCATGAACTTGGAGTACATATCTTGAAAAGTGCCTGATTCAAGTATATAAGTGGCTCATTTTTACATCTTATCAAAAAGTGAAGTGAATCCAG